CTGGCGGGCTCCGACGGTGGCGGCGGCGGCGGTAGCACCCGCTCCAGCGGAATCAGCCTCGGCTACGACCAACGCCACGGCAGCCCACGCTCGGGTCGCTCCGACCTGCGTCCGGGCCCAGGTCCGTCGTCTGTGGGCAGTGCCCGCTCCAGCGTGTCCAGTTTGGGCTCCCGCGGCTCGGCGGGCGCCTATGCCGACTCGCTCCTGCCCGGCGCCTGCCTTGCTCCGGCTCGCTCCCCGGAGCCTGCTGGGCCGGCCCCCTTCCCTCTACCTTCTCTGCAGCTGCCCCCGGGCCGAGAGGGCGGCCCGAGCGCGGCCGAGCGACGGCTGGAGGCGCTCACCCGGGAGCTGGAGCGGGCGCTGGAGGCGCGCACGGCGCGGGACTACTTCGGTGAGCGAACTCGGCCGCGCAGCCCTCTGCGCTCTGGCCCGAGTCAGAGGAGAGCTCCGGGTGGGCCAGGCACTGGGCGGGTGGAAGAGGCACCAGGATTAAGAAGCTGTGTCGCCCGCGGGGCTAGCGAGCCGACGACGTTTTGCGAATAGCCAAGTTTAGGTTATTCCCAACAGCAGCTAACTGTCTAGGTCTCCCGCCAGAAGGGGCTCTAGCAAAGTAAGTTGATGCGCTTAGAGAGTTAGAGAAAAAGTCAGATTGGCAGATAGAATAAGCAATTTTTTTTCCTGATCATTTCTTTTTCTTCTTCTTCTTCTTCTGTGCTGGGGATTGAATCCAGGGCCTTGTGCTTGTGAGGCAAGCACTCTACCAACTGAGCTATATCCCCAGCCCAGGCCATCTCTTCTTAACCCTTGGTGATTGCTTCTGTTTACCTTCCTTGATGTTTCGTGATCAGAAGGGACGCCCAGCATGCCCCCAGCAGTATGGGGGTGTGGACAGGAACAGGAAGGTGGAGAACCCTGGGTACTCTTGGACCCGCCTGAACCGAGGCTGTGGGGATGCTAGTGGCGGGAGGTGGAGACTGTGGGAGGGAGGAAGAGCCCACCTTGCGGGAGACGAAGAAGACCCAGCCAGGCACACTGGGCTGCTCGAGGCTGTGCTATGGATGTGTACCTTAAAGGAATTGTGCTTCTTATGAATTTGCAAAGCTCACCAGTCTGACAGCTTCTGTTTCCCAGCCCCTCCCTGGCTTTCTCATGCCTTTCTACAACTCTTAGGGAGAGGTGGGGCACAGAAGTATTATAGAGCCCAAGGAGAGAGTATCCCTCCCTCCCTCCCTCCCTCCCTTCCTGACAAACCCATAGGGTGGAGGCCTCTGGCTTTGGACAGATGATTGTCAAGGGTGATCCGCAAGCCTGGGAATGAGGCTGTCCTGGGATTTCTATCTTTCTTACACTCACTGGAGCTAGCGGCTCTAGACTGCGCTTTACTGGATTTTTTGGGATTGAACCTAGGGGGCGCTGAGCCACTGAGCCACACCCCCAGCCCTTTATATATA